TGAAACTATGTCAAAAAATATTTTGAAAAAGTCAATAATTTTTTAAATAATGAGTGTTGTTTGATAAATCAATCACCCTGTATATGTGTTGTTTTTGTCTTAAAAGTATAAATCATAACTAAATATTTTGAGCGAGAAAAGAACTGAGAAGGCTACAGTTATAACTAAGAAATAATAAATAAAAAATATATATAATAATTTATATAAATAAATATAAATTTCAAAATCTAAATAACAAGAAAATTGATTTTATTTTTCAAATCATAGGTAATCCGAATATTCCGAATTACCTATTCCCCCTATCTTGTTCGAATTAACAATGCCTTAGTGCAGCGTTTCTCAAAGTGTGAGTCGCGACCAACTGGTGGGTCGTCAGTCAATTTTTGGTGGGTCGCGAACAATTTTTACGTGGGTAATAAATAATAATTCATGTTTTCAAATTATATAGATTCCAAGAAATTGGATGAATTGTGAATGATTACTAATAATTCGTCATATATTTATTACGAAATACCTAATAAAAATGTATACATATTTATATAATACAAATTTTGTTTTTTATTACCTACTTTTTGAAAAGTGAAACAATGTGGGTCGCGAAAAATTTTTCGGGGGAAATTTGGGTTGCAGTACTAAACAGATTGAGAAGCACTGCCTTAGTGTATATTGTAAGTCAATTTGAAATCTTAACTTATCACTTTATCATTCTCGATTCTTACCCACTGTYTTTGCTATGTTTAATTTTTGTGAGATGGAAGCAAAATATTCTGATAGTGCCATCTTAAAAAGTAAAATTTAAGTTAAAAATAAAATAATAACCAAAAGGTATTTGTTTGATAAAATKATGTCTTAAGCTCTTAACGATTTGAATACTAAATTTAAATTTGAAATAATTATTTCAAAAGAATAAAGAATTGTTTTAATAATATATCTGTTCTTAATTTGTTAAAAACCTATAAACAGTATAAACCAATAAAATAAATTTGGTTTTTAAAAAATGTGCTCCATGCGTGAGTCCAATACGATGAGGTTATTTTTATACTATATTCAATGTAATATAACTTCTATTCGAATCTCAACTCTCAGAATATCTGAATTACTTAGTTATTGAAATCAAAAATAACATACTTAATTTTGGAATTTTTATTGCAGTCGATTCATCATCTAAATTGTCATCGCAGAGTACTTTTCTTTTATTATTGATTGGATTATTCTACATAATATAAACATAATTATTAATATGTATCTATTATTTATATATTTATGTACATGCATACTAAAAATTTAACTTACAGATAGATTTGAAAAATTGATAGTATGATCTACTTTATCAATATATTGTAGAACGACTCCTTCGTCACCACTAGCTAACACAATCATATCTAAATCATTCAACTGATGTTCTACAAATTCAATTAAATTTATATTGCCGACCATAGTCCCATTTGATGTCTGAAAAAATAATTAAAGTGATTGTTAATTAAATAAATATTAATTAAAATAAATATTTTTAACATAATTATGGAATTTATTAATTAAATTAAAAGACTAATAGTAACTTACAAAAAAAAAAAAAGTGTTAAATAATATTCAGTAAATTTTGATATATTTTTCAGGATTTTTTTGGATCTCAATTTGCTTATAATTCAGTTATGATTAGATTAGAGATCATGGTATAATTAAAGATTAAAAATTATAATAATATTAAAAATTATGATTTTGAG